GGGGGGGATTGGCGCCAAATCGCCTCAGATCCCGAAGTGGTGGACACCGGCATCCCGGGACGTAGTCACCCCCCGTACCCCGTTTACGCATTGTCCGATAGAAAATGTGACCCTCTACCAACAGTCCATCCACCATACTCACCTCCATCAGCCCCACATAGTCGGCAGCTGGTACCTCACTATGTTATGTGACAGCCCCCACCGTAAGGTCATGTGACCCCCACCCCCTAAAATTGTCTGTTCATTCTCTCATAATGTGCTCTGACCCCCCTCAGTACTATCCATGTAATATGTAGTCACTCCTCCCCCATAGTGTGTACTGTGGTCTCCATATTGGCAGCCTTTCAGATATTTGCTTTCCCTGTCATGGTTATGTATTGACCCCATAATGGGCTGTGATGCCCCCCTCCCTCATTCTTGCCCATCTGCCTTTCCTGGTTATCGCCCTAATGATATAATCGGCACCCCCCCCATATCTACAGGCTGTACTGACACCCCATAATGTGACCACACTGACCAGTACATCTTTTTTGGGGTGCCATACTGGTACACCCTTACAGTCCTCATATTTGATCATCTGATCTCTTGGGGTGTACAATGGCCTCTGTGTTACTGGTGTAAACTTCACAGCTAACTTGCTTTATTGGTGGTTCCACCATGTACACCTGGTGACCCCCCTCAATACCGACAATAATATCTGCCCTTCTTGGCAAGGGCCGATGCCATAACGTTCTTTCCGATGGCCCTCCAACAGTGATGTCATATCAGCCTTCCTCCAGTTCACAACCCCAATACAGATGCCATAAGAGTGGGCTTCCCCCCCCCTGGTGTCTCCCCCGATAGTGACCCCCCATGAGGGCGGCTCTCTTCCCAGTGTCTCCCCAATGATGTGAGGTAGATGCCCCCGCCCCCTGGTGTCTCCCCCAATAGTGATGCCATAAGGATGGCCCACCCCCTGGTGTCTCCCCCAATAGGGACGCCATGAGGATGACCTGCCCCCTGGTGTCTCCCCCAATAGGGACGCCATGAGGATGGCCCTGCCCCCTGGTGTCTCCCCCAATAGAAAAGGCATCCCTTCCTGTTGGCGGCCATAATATTGGCCTTGTGTCCTTGGTAAAGGAATAACTGGGGCAATGTAACATCGCTATCATTCAGCTTTTCCTTGTGCCATACCAGGAACTTTTATCACGCCCCCACTTTTAATCATCATGGTCACCATACCTGTATCTTTTGGAACCCCAGACATGCCTTGGCCCACACTTAAACATGCATGGTCGCTGCTCATTCCCTGTTCACACTTGCTGTGCATGGAACCACACCTAAGTGTGCGCTATGGTTCATGTCCATGCAATGTATGATGCCATTGTGATGTCATTGCCTGTTAAAGGAGAACTATGGGGGGGGGGGGGGCTTTTCACTCCTCCTCATAGTTCTAGCCGACCTGTGTCAGTGACTGTCACAGGTCGGCTCAGTAGATCGGGAGGTGAGCAAACACATACCGGCGTTCGCTCACCTCTCGGTCCTGTCACGGCTCTCTGCTGTGACAGGGGAGGGGCTGGATTCCCCCCGCTCCAAACCGCAAGCGCTGACTGGCGGGAGGGGGCGGGTACAGCTGGCTCTACCTCTAGCTAGGCAGAGCCAGCTGTCGTTCACGCAGCTGGGGGCGGATCCCATCACAATTGTCGGGATCTGCTTCAGCTGCGGCGTCTCAGGGTGGCTGGAGGACGCTAGTTTGTGTCCTCCCGTTACCCTAAGGAGAACTATGGGGGAAAAGCCCTGACCTCGTGGTTCTCCTTTTTAATGGCACCCTAAATGCAGCTGGTAAAATGCGTAGTCAAGGAAGCGCAAAGCCTTTTTTTTTATCTGCTGCAGTTGGAACAAATATTCAGAAGCTGTTTTTGGAGTGAAATGTTTTGAAGGTCTTAATTGTAGAAATCTTGTTTGCAGAATGGAGGAAACTGCAGCACCCTCAACATCTGCTGAACAAGTTGAAGGGTAAGGGACACTAACCGCCATATATAAACCATCCTACAGCCATACAAAAGTGTGGAAACATCTGACTTGTTTTTAAATGCAGGGTTGAGGATGTGGACAACGAAGCAAAGAAACTCATGGGAGCTGGTAGGAGACACATGGTCATGAAGGACATCCGTTCTGCAGTGAATGCCTTTCAGGAGGCCAGCAGCGTTCTGTAAGTAGAGAATATTGCGCCACAAGTACCCTTGGGGGGGTTCCATATATACATTTTAAAGGTGCTTGTGTTAATAAAAGCTGCTCTTGTGAGTATTTTGGTGTATTTAGCTGTGCACACATGATTACCTTGAGTTTTCTGAGCCAAGCTCCCCGACACCTTTCTGGTGGTTGAAGTGCTATGTATTAAATCAAAGAATATTAGTTTATACAGCAAGGTGAGCCAGGAAAGACGGGAGGATGAGCAAGGAGAGACAGCCAGGGAGTTTTATTTCCCCAATCATCTTCCAGGACAGCCCATGAGATGAGGCTCCGCCTGCCTGCAACAGGAAACGCATCAACCACATTTAAATAGACTCCTCCTTCATCCCAATTCAGTTTTTTGTGTGTTTCCTCCGGCTACACAGGTTCACATCGTAATGTTTGTTGTTTTCAGGGCTCGTTTTCAATTTGCCTCAGGGCAGAGCCTAACCCTGATATGCGTTGGGACCTACTCCAGGATCTCCTGCTGCAGCGCATACAGGGATCCCTTGTCGGACCCCCATCCGAGACTAGGCCAAGGAGGAGGGGTCCGTGGGAGGGCAACCATCCTCCTGTGCGTGAGTGGCTCCAGATGGTGACACCCCCCCCCCCCCCTGGTGTGCAGCAGTGGCAAGGGTGTTACCCTGAGCGGTGTACGGTACCCCCTCTTGTGTTGGCATTGAGGGGGCAGGCTCTAGCAATGGGTGCAGTGTGGAGACACTTACCAGTTGGAGCACTGTGGTCGCTCTTCCAGGGGGCCATTTTCCTTTGGTAGATCTCATGTAGCTCGTCATTTGAAAAGTAGATCTTAACTCAAATTGTGGGCACCCCTGATCTAAATGAGTTTTATAAACATGAATAAATCTGTACAGTCTCAATCCTTCTCTATAAATATCTAGAAGGTTGAAATTGCTTTCAATCCTACAACGCAATCTCTTTATCCTTCAGAGGGAAGAAATATGGTGAGACTGCAGATGAGTGTGCAGATGCCTTTTTCTCCTATGGGATGGCTCTCCTGGAGCTGGCACGGTAAGTGTTCACAATGTTTTGCTTCATTAACCCCTTCATGACTGAGGCCCTTTTTTCCATTTTTGCACCCATTTTATATTCCACATTTTAGGCCTGAAAATGACGTAAAACCCCCCAACATTATATATTTTCTGAATGCCAAGACCCTATAGAATAAAATGGTACAAGATTTATTCTAAAATTGAATATCTAAAAATGTGGAGATTCACTAACTCGGCTTTATCTGTATCCACTGACTGACTGTGTGCTTGTCCTGAGCAGAATGGAAAATGGTGTCCTGGGAAATGCCTTGGAAGGGATGCCAGATGATGAAGAGGAAGATGGTGAGAAGGAGGAAGACCCCAATATTCCCAGTGCTGCTAACTTGGATGGTAAGTGTTTTTCCTTATTAGAACTGGTAAGCAGATGATTCCCTGCAGGTTACACTGCTGCCGAAATGCATCTTTTTCCATCTTCATAAGATGACTGAAGAGAGCGCAGAACATGTGTAACTGGTGCAGACTGAGAACCTAGTCAACTGTACAGGAGAGCAGCAAACAGGGTATTGGTCAAGAACTCCAGACATTGGACTGATGTTGATGTGCTAGATCTCTGCCCCCACCTCGTCACTTATATTCATGTATCAGTACTGTAACCCAGCCTCGCTTTTCTGTCCATGTGCACCTAAACCTCAACCATTCACAGTATAGTACATAGTCAGTATTATGAAGCTGGAATATGGTGTCATAACCTACAGAGGTCAGGCAGCATGACTGGCTGATCTTTTACAGCTGCCCAAGATGACAACCTGATCCAAGTTCACCAAAAAAAACCTTGCATACTAGGAACCTGCAATGATCCCGAAGGATAAACCCTTTAAATCTTGAGTTAAGAGCGCCCCCCTCCTCCATGCCCTGTTGGAGTAAAGGAGTTTGAATAGTGTAATACTGCAGATATTTATCTGGGGGACTAACTGCATTATGAGCATGTAAGGTCACTGTTGGCTCGAACTTGCTCCCGCAGAACTATTCTACATTTTTCCCAAATGTAAATGTGCCTTTCCACATGCAGAGATGAAACCTCCAGGCACAAAGGTGGGTTTGTTTGTAATGTAAGGTTAGCATCTATGCACCAGTTTACTATACGGGCCATTTATGTATTTGTATAAGGTGACTATAGTTCATCCTTTCCCTACTGAAAAATGCAGTTCAGTTCCTCATAGCTGAGCTCCACACCCCTTAACGTTCCATTTTATTCCCTCCAGTTCTGCAGCATACATTATGTAAACTGGCGCCCAATGCTGAACTGCAGATCCTGTCTTGCTAATGCTTTGTACAGGGCTCATGTCTCTGTAGCTTATGCTGCCTATAATAAAAGCTTGCATCTTGCTTGCTCTAAAATGGATGGTATTGCATGCTGTGTAGTCTGATCAGCCATGACACCTCAGATCCTTCACTCACTTGCACTGATGTATGCTTAGGTTGTATGATGCATGTTCTTGGCTTCGTACACTTGCATGTAATGCTTTACAAATGGCCACATTCCCGTTAGTAAAAGAGAAGGCTTTCTTTCCAAAACTTTTAGAGAAAGAAAGGGAGCAGTTAAGAGAGCAGGTCTATGATGCCATGGCTGAGCAGGAGAAGCCTGAAAAATCCGATGCAGAAGAGCCGACAACTGAGAAAAAGGAAAACGGTGATGTGCACATGGAAGAGTGTGATAAACCCGAGGAGAAAACCAATGGAGAAATTCCTGCATCAAGCTCTGAGAAGGTGGATGAAACTGAAAAGGGTGCTGCTGTGACTGAAGAAAAGGGTGCTGCTGTGACTGAGAAGGGTGCTGCTGCCGAAAAGAGCACTAAGGGTGCTGCTGCCGAAAAGAGCAAGGATGAATCAAAGGGTGCTGCTGTGACTGAGAAGGGTGCTGCCGCCGAAAAGAGCAAGGATGAATCAAAGGGTGCTGCTGTGACTGAGAAGGGTGCTGCCGCCGAAAAGAGCAAGGATGAATCAAAGGGTGCTGCTGTGACTGAGAAGGGGGCTGCTGCTGAGAAGAGCACGGATGAGTCAAAGGTTGCTGCTGTGACTGAAGAGAAGGGTGCTGCTGCTGAGAGCATGGATGAATCGAAGGATGCTGCTGCGACTGAGAAGGATGCTGCTGCGACTGAGAAGGATGCTGCTGTGACTGAGAAGGATGCTGCTGAAAAGAGCACAGATGAATCAAAGGGTGCTGCTGTCCCTGAAGAGAAGGGGGCTGAAGCTGAAATGAGCACAGATGAGTCAAAGGATGCTGCTGTGACTGAAGAGAAGGGTGCTGCAGCCAAGGCTGAAAAGAGCACGGATGAACCAAAGGGTGAGAAGGACACTGATGCTTCAAAGGGTGACGAGATGGAAGCCACAGAGAAGGCAAAAGTGAAGACTGAGGACATCTCTGAACCCCCAGCTCAGGAAGCTGACTCTTCTAAAACCTCAGCTGTCTCTGAGCCCCCATCAGAAAAGTCTGAGGAAGCTAAACCCGCTGCTAAAGAAACTGATGGTGCCAAACCCCCAGCTGAGGAGACTGCTTCAAAAGAACAGCCTGATGTGAAGGATCCCAAAAGTCTGATCAGCCATGACACCTCAGATCCTTCACTCACTTGCACTGATGTATGCTTAGGTTGTATGATGCATGTTCTTGGCTTCGTACACTTGCATGTAATGCTTTACAAATGGCCACATTCCCGTTAGTAAAAGAGAAGGCTTTCTTTCCAAAACTTTTAGAGAAAGAAAGGGAGCAGTTAAGAGAGCAGGTCTATGATGCCATGGCTGAGCAGGAGAAGCCTGAAAAATCCGATGCAGAAGAGCCGACAACTGAGAAAAAGGAAAACGGTGATGTGCACATGGAAGAGTGTGATAAACCCGAGGAGAAAACCAATGGAGAAATTCCTGCATCAAGCTCTGAGAAGGTGGATGAAACTGAAAAGGGTGCTGCTGTGACTGAAGAAAAGGGTGCTGCTGTGACTGAGAAGGGTGCTGCTGCCGAAAAGAGCACTAAGGGTGCTGCTGCCGAAAAGAGCAAGGATGAATCAAAGGGTGCTGCTGTGACTGAGAAGGGTGCTGCCGCCGAAAAGAGCAAGGATGAATCAAAGGGTGCTGCTGTGACTGAGAAGGGTGCTGCCGCCGAAAAGAGCAAGGATGAATCAAAGGGTGCTGCTGTGACTGAGAAGGGGGCTGCTGCTGAGAAGAGCACGGATGAGTCAAAGGTTGCTGCTGTGACTGAAGAGAAGGGTGCTGCTGCTGAGAGCATGGATGAATCGAAGGATGCTGCTGCGACTGAGAAGGATGCTGCTGCGACTGAGAAGGATGCTGCTGTGACTGAGAAGGATGCTGCTGAAAAGAGCACAGATGAATCAAAGGGTGCTGCTGTCCCTGAAGAGAAGGGGGCTGAAGCTGAAATGAGCACAGATGAGTCAAAGGATGCTGCTGTGACTGAAGAGAAGGGTGCTGCAGCCAAGGCTGAAAAGAGCACGGATGAACCAAAGGGTGAGAAGGACACTGATGCTTCAAAGGGTGACGAGATGGAAGCCACAGAGAAGGCAAAAGTGAAGACTGAGGACATCTCTGAACCCCCAGCTCAGGAAGCTGACTCTTCTAAAACCTCAGCTGTCTCTGAGCCCCCATCAGAAAAGTCTGAGGAAGCTAAACCCGCTGCTAAAGAAACTGATGGTGCCAAACCCCCAGCTGAGGAGACTGCTTCAAAAGAACAGCCTGATGTGAAGGATCCCAAAGCTGAAGGAGAGGAAGAAGCTGAGCCAATGGAGGATGAAGAAGGTAACTTGAGGGGATGTGACGATTCTGGGTGTCAGGAGGTGAAGATGCCTTTTACCTGTCTTGTCGTGCCTACAGAACCCTAAGTTACGGGCATGGCTGCTAACTGATGTCAGCAATGGTCTGGAGAGTTCCTGCACCTGAGTCTGAAGTCAGCAGTCTGATCACTACTTCCTCCAGTCTGGTGTTGGTGGCTGTTCTGCTTTTCGTGGCTTAGTCTGATACTGCATGTGAATACATTGATACTTCTGTTTTGATAGCAGATTAGGGTTGGGGGTCTAACCTGTGTTTATCTTTTTAGAGGGAGAAGATGCTGAATCTGAAGAGGGCGAGGACAATGAAGGAACTGAAGAGAAGGTACTTAACCCTTTATCAGCATGCAATTTTTCTCAGATCCAAACTTTTGCAGATGGTTCCCCTTAAACCCAAATCCAGTAACCATACTTGTGTAAACTATACCCCCCTGTACTGTTTTACTTTCAGTGATGGGTTTGCCAGTCCTTTATTATAAATGGCATAGGCTGGTTCAAACGCAGCCAGTGCAGTTAAAATCCCTGAATTGTGCCATACACTAGATGGCCTAAGATTGTCCAAATTGCAACGACCTGCTATATTTCTCGGATAGTAATGGCACATATTCATCCTTCTGGATAGGGAAGGGCTCTGATGTTGGGTGATCGCTGGTGGTACTTTGGTGTTCTGAGATGCCATATTGTAAAATAAAACTGGAGCCTTGCTCATAAGGCAGTCTTTGGCTACAACCTTACAACTGCAAGCCTGGTTACTTTTACTGCATAGTACAGTGCTGCTTGTGTCTGACTCTTAAGTGTTCATCTTGTGGTAACATCAGCACTATACTTGTTGCTTATAGCTGTGCTATCAAGCTTAGGCCAGATGGCAATGACTTGGCCTGGGCATTTATTGGCAAACATCCTTTGCATGGTGCTGTCTGAGGTGTTAACAAGTTTCCTCCATTTTTAGGAGAATGATGAGGACGATGTTGGCAATCTGCAACTGGCCTGGGAGATGCTGGACCTGTCAAAGATTATCTTCAAGAGGTAAGTCATACTAGTAAACAATGATCATAACTAATGTAACTTCAATGGCTGACACTGCAATAGAGAAGTTGCCGGATGGCTTGGTGGCCTTCTAGGCAAACGTCCAGCAAGGATGCCAATAAAGTTGTGGAATTCCAGTTGCGTTTAAAAAGTGTTTACCAATTTGCAGGCAACCGAACAAGGAGGCCCAGCTAAAGGCTGCACAAGCTCATCTGAAGCTTGGAGAAGTCAGTGTAGAGTCAGGTGAGAATCACCGAAGCTTTCCAGACTTAATTTAGATTGCTGTGTGTGTGTGTTAACCTCGTCTCTTAATGATAGAGAACTATGGCCAGGCGATAGAAGACTTCCTTGCATGTCTGAACATCCAGAAGGAGCACTTGGAGAAGCATGACAGACTCCTTGCTGAGACCCACTACCAGCTAGGCCTGGCCTACCAGTACAGCAGCAAGCATGACAGTGCCATATCCCACTTCACCCAGTCCACTGATGTCATAGAGAAGAGAGAGGGTGAGTGCAATGTTGGGGTGGGAAGTCCAATGCTGAAAGCTTCACAAAGCTAGATGACCGACGGCAAAACCAGAACATGTCACATTGTACAGGGATGCAGAGCGGGAAGGGGTGCAATGTACTTAAGAGGTTTGGTGCACATTTTAGGGTTTCACTCCTACTTGGGAATTACATAGTATTTGAGGTTGAATAAAGACATTAGTCCATCAAGTCCAACCTATTAGGATCTCATTCTAGGAGTACCTGTACCCCTGTATATTACGGTCCCTTAAGAAATCGTCCAAAAGTTTCTTGAACAATTCCACATTATTTGCTGAAATCACCGTCTGTGGAATGTTTTATGTAAAGCATGGTCACGGCTATAATCCCTCAAAATCCAAACTGCCCCCTAACCCGAACCACAGGGTGTCTCCCGGCAGAGTTCTATGACTTTATCTTGGTGTAGTTGTATGGCTCCCTCAGTACAACTGTCTTGCGGGTGTGATCTCAAATCGTGAATTGTAAATGCAATCTGCTCTCATAGCTGGGGGGTTGCTTTTCTTCCAGCTAGCTTAGCGGTCCAGCTGCACTTCTGCCCCATAACAGTTTCTGCCAAGAGCCTGTGCCATACTCATCACGACTGCAATGTAAGCTTCACTGCAAAAAAATTGGTGAATGCACATTGGGTCTCTGTTGCCTTTCCTACTTTATGGTGAAGGGCAGGGGTAGCAAACCTCTGGCCCTCCAGCTGTGGTGGAACTACAAATCCCATGAGGCATTGCAAGATTCTCAGACATGCCTCCCGAAGAGATGCATCATGGGATTTATAGTTGCATTACAGCTGGCGGACCAGAGGTTTGCTACCCCTGGTGAAGGGACTTGGCATTTATGTTCAAGGAATTTCTTGTGGATCTCTGCAGTCTAAAGGGATCTCCACACTGTAGGTAAGGACTTGTCTTCTAATGTATATCCACATGCAAAGATCAGACCCATCGATGCAGCTGGAGGGCTTACTGGTACTCAAAACTGGGCTCCTAATACCAGAACTCTGTTCACTCTGCAGCTTTGCTCACAGAACAATTAGGAAAGGCAGCCGGTGAATCCACCAAGGAACTTCAGAAGGAGATGGATGAATTGAAAGGACTGCTTCCAGACATCCGGGAGAAGATTGAAGACTCCAAAGAAGCGCAGAAAACCTCAGAAGTAACGGAAAAGGCACTTAAAGAGACTCTGGTTAGTATTCCGCTCTGAGCTCTTCTGATCCAGTTACTGTGAAGCCTTTGACACTGCGAGCCATTCATGTCCCGTGCTAGAAAGGCCAAAATGTGATGTTTGATTGTAAGCCCTCAGGGGCGGGGCCCTCCCCATCTTGTCTTGTGATTGTAATGTGTTCCTTGTATTGTAAAGCGCTGTGCAAACTATTGGCGCTATATAGATCCTGTATAATGTTTGGGGGTCTAATTGACAATATCCACCAGCACAAAATCTGAATTGACTAAGATCCTGTATTTCAGTGTGGGGGTGAATGGAGTGCACGTGTGCCCCTAGACCTGGCTGTTTGGACTGAATAGTAGCTCGTTTATCTCTGTATTGGGAAGAATAATGCGATGTTGGCATTCCACTAGACCAGTAGTGGCGAACCTTGGCACTCCAGCTGTGCCAAAAACTACAAATCCCAACATGCATCTGCCTCTGGGAGTTATGTCTGTGGCTGTCAGAGCCTTGCAATGCCTCATGGGAGTTGTAGTTCCAAAACAGCTGGGGTGCCAAAGTTCTCCACCACTGCACTAGACATTTCACTATAAGGGGGAAAGTGCAACTTACACTTCAATCTTCTGCTTTCGCATTGCTAATCTGCTTTATTCTTGTAGGCTGGAGGGTCATCAGGCTTCTCTAAAGAAAATGGAAGCACCTCATCTTCTGCACCACCTGTAAGCTGCCATCTTGTTTCCTTGTTTTTTAATTCTTTTGTCACATGGACAAGTATCTAACGGTCTTCTGTCTGTCCAGGCTCCAGTAGAAAAGAGTGGGGACAGCACTGTACCTGTTACGAACTGTGTATCTGACATTTCACACCTTGTGAGGAAGAAGGTAAGTTGTCGTCCTTTTAATGCAGTATCCTATCAAGGTACAGGCAACACTTTACTAATGTAATGCTACAAGAGGCCTGCACACGGCTCGGTTCTGATTCAACATGCAGATCTTTAAGGCCTTGTTCACACCAAGCGCGTTCCAGGAGCAGAGCCGTTACAGACCGGATCAAAACTGCGTCCAATGTATTCCAATTGTATTTTGGGCTCTAGTTCACACTGCAGCATTCAGTTCCAGAGCATGTAAACAAAACTGCAGCATGCCCTATTTTACCTGCTCTGGAACGCACAAAGCCCTTTCTAAGGTAAAAAAAATTTTTTAAACCTGAAACGGCCCGTAATGAATCAAAATCGCAGCACAACCCACTGCACTGCGTGTGCGGAAACTCATGCAGATCTGGTCTGCACTTGGTGTGGACAAGCACTTGGTGTGGACGCGATTTAGCGTGATTTCTGCCGCAATATCGCGCATTTTTGCCCCACAATATCGCAAGAAGACGCCGCCTAATATTCAATGGAGCTGTCCTAGCTCCATGTCGCTTCTACAGGACCTTTTTTTTTTGGGCGGATTTACGCTATCCCGGCCGCTGCAAAAGGTATGTCGCTACATGTGAATGGGGCCCTAGACCCCATTCACACTGAGCGATTTGCAAATCGCGCAATTTGCATTTTACGTGATTGCGCAAATGCTTGCATTGAGCAAGCTAGAATCGCAGCAAGTCTGCTCCAAAAAGTGTCCTACTGTAGCGACGCATAACCAGCGACGGACAGAGCCCCATTGCCATGCATTGGAGAGCGATATCGTGAGGTAAATAGCCGCGATATTGCGAGAATTACTGTGCGACAAATCGCTCAGTGTGAATGGGGCCTAAGGTTTGTATCTGGGCCATTTATACTTCAGGTAGTTACAGATGTCATGGTCACTACAAAAAGGAAACAAATTACCTGTCCTGCTTGCTCTGGACAACCTGTCGGTGGTACCGGGGTTAGTCTGGGGACACTGCCGTAAGACTGACATGGTTTTTGGCCTTCCAGAGGAAACCCGAGGAGGAGAGTCCACTGAAAGAAGCCAAGAAAGCAAAGGCGGAGCCTGTAGCGAACGGATCTGGGGATGCTGTGGTGCCGACAAATGAGGAAGCTGAAAAGGCAGAAGAGGTGAGCGGAGAAACGCATGTAATGATGAATGTTCTGCATCCTGGCTCTTCACTAACCTGTCTCTTCCGCCTGCAGGCAGAGAAGCAGACACCGAAGGAGACACCAATGGAAACCGCAGCCGTGGAGAGTTCTGCGTGATGCAGATACACCCCCCCCCCTCCCCCCAAAGGGACTTTTGTATATAAGTGTATTTTTTCCACTTTTGTTCTAAGCAACTTTTTGTAAAGCAAAATAAAGGTTACGTAAAAAGCTTCTCCTGGCGACTCGTTTTATTTGTAAGATTGACATGACGGGCCAGTTATTTTTTGCTTAAAAGGAACTTGTTTGATCTCAGTTGCGGAAAGCTAGATTGGCTTCTGACAGGCTATGGAACTTACTAAATGGCAGTCTAGAGCAGAGACACCCCCCCACCCCCCCGTCACTGCCATCAGCACCCCCTGCTCTGCATTCATTCCTAAAACTGGACAACATGCATGGACATTAGCGCATCCCTGCAGGAAATTCTCAAATGTAGCTGGGAAGGTGTAATAGGCAATATCACACAGATGAGAACCTTTTCTGGGTCATAGGTGACTGGGTAATATGCAGCTATCATTGAACTCTGGCCAGAGCTGTGAGGACCTCGTAACTCCTTGCTCAGGAAATCCTCTGGAGTTAATTTTGCTTCTAGTGTCCTTAGGTGATGGTGGTCTTCCTACCGAGGGGGATGTTGTGTAGTTGCTATGCCTAATGCTTTGCTAATTTCAATCAGGATTGTTTGGCTGCATCCGTTCAATGCAGCTACTTTAGTTTTACAGTTCAGGGCCCTGCAGAAGCTCTGATCCAGGCTGAAGATGTGGGGCCCGCATGTTAGATCGCTTCTGGATCTGCAGTAGGAGCCCACACTGGTATGTAGTGGAACAGGTTTGGTTTGCCTCAGGATGCCTTACAGGGCAATGGTATGAGCCCCTCCAGCATCCCTTTGATGGTCATATTTGGGGAAGGCCTGGCTATCCTTCAGAGAACGTCATTGGGGAGGGGGGAGACACTTGTTCAGCAAGTCAGAGGCCCTGCTGGCTATATACTTGGACTAACTTGGAACTTGTTTTGCCCCTCCCCCCAGGCTTCTGGCTCACAGCATAAATGTAACCTGTTCTCCCAGCACCAGACCCACTTTATGAGGGGGCACCCCCCACTTAAGTGGGGGAATCCTCTTTTGGTTATACGTGAGGTGTCGTCCTACATTGCAGGAGGAAGTCTGAGTTGGTGTTCCATTGCACTGAATGATTATTGGAAACTAATAGCTTGTGGGGAAACTTCTTCGGTGTGACACTTTCCATAAAGGATGCTCGGATTCTCTTCTCTCCCCATTGGCTGAAGAGCAAATCCTGCTTTCCCCATCCATGCTATCCATTGTGAATGGCGGAATCCCCACTGCTGCCTATTCTCAGACCACTGCATCTGATTGGATGTGTTCATTGTTCAGACAAGTTGTCACCTGGCTCAGATCTTTAATGGACTTCTTGTGCTGACCAGGCCGCCCGTGGTATACAGTATGGCGGGTGTATATCCCTATGAAAGGCCTTTACTCGATGCTTGGTGTCATTGTATCCAGTTTTAGGAGTCTCGTGTTTTGTGGAAGTTCTGGAATCGGGTTCAGCTCTGGTGAGGTTCTCCACTATCTTCAGAAGTGGCAGCGGCATTCTCCGTCTCCTTCGGTGGTTGGTAGTCGGATCTGAGATACTGAAATGAGAGTTTTGTTTTACACTCTGTATGTGGCTGAGAAATTAAAGTTCTTCAGCTGAAATATTTGTATGTGATTGAAGGCAAACCTGAGCAATTCAAAGTAAGTCTGAGGGGTCTGTCCTCAGCACTGCCGGGACCTGTCCTCGGAATGTGACCATTCCAAACCCCTTCAGTATCTGGTCCCTGGTGTAAGCTCTGTCCCCTCAGGCAGAGCCTGCACAAGGCTAAGGGATGTTTCTCAG